ATTGCTTACCTTCGTCTCTTAGCGTATTTTCCGTTAGTCATGCTCAAGAATTTCTTCGGGTCCCATTTAAACTATTTTTAATCTTTTATTCAAAAATCCACCGGGTAAACAGTTCTGTCCACCGAGTGTGCTGCGCTCTAAAGGATCCGTGTGAAACGCTGCAGCGCATTAGTTCCCGTCTCCGAGGCAGCGCGGGAAAAAAAAAGCCGATCTCTTCAGCACAGGGGCCATAACAGGGGCCAGGGCCGGTTCTACAGGGGCCCAGGCCCCTGTGGGCCCCTGTTTATAACCGCCAATGAATATGTCCTCTCCTGTTGTTTTCCCTTCCAAGCGTTTGCAGAATAGTATGTGCTCATAAATGTCATCAGCATCAACGTACCTCACAAAAGCAACAAGTTGTGCATTTCCACTGACATCTGTGGATTCATCCAGCTGGAGTGAAAAGGAGTCGCTAAGTTTTCCCACAACTTGCTCGACAATGTCTGTTCCTATTTTATCGATTCTGTGGCAAGTAGTGTCGTTTGACAAAGGCACGGTCTTTGCTGTGCGTTTGTCCAGCATAGTCTCAGCAGCCGCTGGAAGGAGAAGGTCTTCAGCGATGGTGAATGGCTTCTTGGCTTTAGCTATGAGCAAAGCCACTGCATAAGACACCTAGAGTTTGGACTCCTCCCCAACACACCTCTTTGCCTCCCCTCCACTGGCACATTTGCTGCTGAGTGTGGAGCCTTTGTCTGCCTGCGTGTTTGTGGCTCCCCTTGTCTTGAGGCGTCTGTGGGGAGCCCATCCTTCGCTTTGCGCATGTGCAGAAAGTGAAAACTTTCCAGCAACGTACGATGATGTACGACGGCCTTGCGTGAATGGTTCACCAGAATGTTTGACGGTTATGCGAACCAATGCTTTAAGTGATCCACCCGGAATAAAAAGATAATTTGCTATTTAAACAGAAATGGTGGTCATTTTGCACTGATAACTTTTAATGCTCAAGCTTTCATAATAGGAGATATGTGATGTTAGCAACCTAGCTTTTTTTTTCACTGAGGGACCACACATATATCTGTATTGGTTTATATTGGTATCAGAAATTAGGAGTTATAAAATATCGGATATTGCTAAAAAATCCCATATTGACCATCCCAATTTTAAACCCAAACTTTGGACTGTTTCTGCCTTTGTGTCTTTGTCAATGCATTTCTTCCTTGATTTTTATCGATTCGTTGTTGCAGCCCTAATGTGAGCTACCTTACATCTACCTGGATGTTGAGTGACTGGGTATGTCAAAAATTACCTAATGGTGCATTCCTTCTAGACTCAGAAGTTAGAATTTACAAATTAAAACTTCAACAGAAAGTAAATCTAAATGTTATGAAAAATTATGTTACAACTATGGTCAATATCAGGTGCTTAAAATGGCGAATGGCCAGTATTTGATATAGCGCCTTCCAGAGTACTAAAACCCCCCAAGGCACTTAACAACACAGTCAGTCATCCATCCTTTCAGACACACACACATTCACACCCTGGAGGTGATGACCTACATGGTAGCCACAGCTGCCCCGGGACTCACTGACAGAGGAGAGTCTGCTGTATGCAGGCCCCACCGGTCCCTTCAACCACCACCAGCACACGGTTTTTATAAATGTAGAAACACCAACAAAACATCATCACCACTATAATGATACTTTCATTACTTACCATCATCAGGCTGTGTGGTTTGATCATCTTCTGTCATTGTGACACATTGTGAGAAGATCCCGTAATGTCCTCTGAGTAAAAAGGAAAAATAAAGGCAATTGAAAATTCCTCCAGTTCAAAGACTACAGTAGAACAGAAGATGGTCATTATTATAAACATTTAGATTAACATAATTATTTATTTATTCTATCTAGATTTTAAGCTGCCCTTTTTATATTAAATTTAGTAAATATGAAATACAATAAAAGCAAAAGCACCAATCAGTGGATTTGCATGAAATTTAAAAGTCAATGTTTCTCAAGATTTCAAAGATTTGCCTATAAATTTGTGTATAACAGTGATTAATATTGTGATGACGATGTTACTTTCGATAAATAAAAACTTAACTCAGGAACAAAAAATTTAATAACATATTAAAAAGGACAAAAGATGTTTGCTAACCATCAAGTGCCATCCACCTCGAGGGCGGGGCATCTAACCTATGAGAACCCACCTGATTGGCCAAATGGGTGAAGAGCTCTATTTGATTTGTTAAAAAACATCATGCTTCTGTTTTATTGACAGGATGCATTATGTGTAGCAAACATTTGAGCTGACCATTCACTGCAATATTTTTCTGTTCTTTGCGATATGCATATTGTGCATGCTGATATCACGATAATATATTTGCAATATATTGTGCAGCTCTAATATATAGATAGATATTGGATGCACAGCATACATACCACATTTAGAAAGCTCAAGTGTGCCGAGGTTCTTCCTCTTCAACGTCCCAGGCCCTTGCTCCATTGCAAACAGAAGTTTGCTTATCTTTGTTATTTGGAATGTCTTGTCAGTTTGTCTGTAGAAGTCACCATGAACCCGTATGTCATGACCCAAGAACCTTGCAACATGCTCCAATTCTTGTTCATCAAGATCCAAGAGCTGGCACAGTGTGGCAACTTGTTTTCTTAATTTAGTAGATCTTAAGAGCTCTGGGTGTTCCGCTTGGCTTGCTTCTGCATGTTTTTGCAGACTGTCAGATCCACGTATGTTTGTCATCCCACCAGATCGTGCAAAAAGAAATGGATTTTCTGCAGGTATACCAGCTTCTTCTCTTGTATCGATTAACAAGGAAATCGAGTCCTTCATTTGGTCAGTAAAAAGCATTGGTACCTTCCTACCCCTCTTTCCTCGTATTTCAATGCGAGTTAACTGTTTGCTCAGCTCCTTTTCTAGAGTTGACAATGTTTCAAAAATGTCCTCGTTTAAGGAACTTGTGTTTGCTTCCTTGTAGGTATCAAGAGTCAAGCGGGATGCCTCTCCTTCACGTCGCTTGTTGAAAATGATTAGCTGTGAAAGAACAGTTTCATTCTTGGATGCAGCTAAACTGAATCCATGCTTCAGTTCCGCTTTTGCTTCATCTTCAAGCTTTCTAAGATGATCTCTCAGAGCAATAACATCTTTGGTGAGGGGAATGTCGTCTTTTTGGTTCCATCTCCTTTCTTTAATGGTTTGATGGGCATTAACAGAAACACTGTTTCTCCAGCTATTTTCCAAAAGTTCCAAAAATCGTTTGGCTTTTTTCTCTCCATTTTCATCTTCATTCATAAGATTCTGTCCTATTAGGACTTCCACTGCTCCTTTGAGACAGAATCCTATTTTGACGGCTGTTGACGCTTTTTTGTACTAATTTTTACGTGGATTAAACCCTGTTAAACGCTTGGCAACTCTGACAACAAACTGATATTTTGATGGTGCACATACATCCTCAAGGCATTTGATGTTTTTATCCATATCTTTTGCTGTTAACACAAATCTGCCAAGCTCTCTCATTCTTTGTGCTATGTATTGGTGACGAGACTTGATACTGCCATGTTTGGCATAGAGTGTCACCATATTTGCATATTAAAGGGTCATTTCGAATATGAAAAGACACATCATCTTGTCTCATATTGTTGAGCACAGTTATACATCCGTCCAATGACGCCAATGTTGGAAGCAAACTTGCACCACAAGACTGTACCCTTCTTCTTATCTTCCTATCATCTGTCTCACATTTTTATTTACTCTTGCATAATGACTGATGCCTCTACAAATCGTTCTTTTTAAACAAAGCATAGCAATATGAACAGGGCAAATATTCCTTGACGGAAACTTTTTCAGATGGCTGCTTCCATGTCACTAGTTGTCCTCTGCATTTTTCCAGGACTTCGGCGTTGTGTTTAAAATCGCCTTTATTGCGCAGCTTTTCCAAATGAATCCTTCTTTCTTTTGATCCCAATGGAAAGCTAAAAGTGTATGCCACATCTTTCATTGTACTGTGATTTCTTTCCAAATGTCTTGATATTTTGGATTGTGGACAGCCACAGTAAAGGCAGAAATGCTTTTTGTCCCATACTCTTAGAGTCAATCGTTTTGGTGCACAGTTTTACTGTTAATCCTTGAACTTTCTTTGATTTTTTACCCAAATGCTATTTTTAATGATTTTCCCCCTTGGTGCCAATGTTTTGGCCTTTGTCAACAGTGCACTCACTGTCACGCCAGTTTCTGTCTTCATCTTCTAGTTGACTAAAGGAATGTTTGTTTGGGCTCGAATACAGTTCATCACTTGACGATGCTGAACTGATAACCGGCTTGTAGCCTGGATCATCTACTTTGCAGCTAGATTGATCCGATTCTGATGAAGTACTCTCTGAAAAAGCACTCTGACTTGTGGAGCTCTTCCAACTGTGAGGGTGAAATAATATATAGGATTACAATCAAATACAAAACAAATTTCAACATGATATTTTCTTTACAGTTCAAAAGTGACCTGTGATAAAGAATGCTTCCAATCAATTCAGGGTCCATACAATGCCTTTTCTACTTGGTATTAACAGAATGCTCCAATTAGATCATGCGATTTAGAAACAATCAAAACTGGATGGAAAAGATGTTGTTTAACCTTATGAAAAACATGACATTTAAACACATACAGAGAGGTTTGGTCAAACATAATGACAATAACTTATTTTCTAATTTCATAAGTTCTTCTACAATATTTATTATTTCATGGAAAAAATTGCAGTCGGGGATTTAGAGACAATAATATGTAGCTGTTAGCTAGCAGTCTAGATTCTCAAACAAACACACACACACACACACAAATCTAGATACACAGACACACACAAATCTAGACACACACACACACACACACATCTAGATACACTCATACACACACACACACACACACACACACACATCTAGATACACAAACACACTCACACTCACACACACACACATCTAGATACACAAACACACACACACACACACAAATCTAGTGTAACGTGAGGAAATATGGGTTTTCTGTCACAATGGTGGTGCTGGACTCAGCTGGGTCAAAGCTGGGTCATTGAGAACTTTCACCCACAGATTAAGACCTGAACGCCAGCGAGTCTGGGAGGAAACCATAACATCTGCCACCTGCGGTACCAGAAGAAGGAGTTCTCATGGACAAGTAGTCATAACAAATCAAAACTTAAAGTTTAAACTTCTTTTTCTTGATTTTAATGTTAAAGTAACCATTATCATTTTGCTCATTATAAATGTGTTTAATCAAATGAATGGTTCTAATGCTTTTGGGTAATTATAATGGATTAATGAATCCATTCTTAAATAATGTTGAGAATGTTTGGTACTGACCTTCACACACACCCACACACATCTTCCCACAGTAAACTCCAGACACATTTGATGACGCACACGTTTGCTTTGAGAAGAGAAAGGTTTTTGGTAAGTTTCAGTCTTATGATTCCAGTTCGTGCTTGACAACGAAAGAGAGAGGACCTGAAGGGGGGACAGAGCCTGTTGGCTCGTTTCTCCCCCCCCCCCCCCCCCCTTTTCACGCTGTTTCTGTCAGCCAGACAGAATAGCTGAATCGCAACTTCTAACGCAGACTCATTACCGAGTCTTTTGATTTCTGAGTGAATTAACTTAAGAAAGCGCGTCGACAAAACGCTTTACCATCAACGTGTACCGAGGGCAACTCTGGACCAGTTCCGTTCGACACCTACGTCTTCCCTGTCAGCCGTTGAGTGTCATCTGGATGAACCACAACATCCTCCACGGCCCGGATCCGAAAGAGGGTCCACAAGAGTTCGGTTAGACAGCACACGGTGTTTAGCGTTTGGATGCATTTTTTTCCAACTAAACCTAAGTTTATTCAAACCACCACTTTTCACTCAGACACCTGTTTCTTCCTGAAGCAAAATCAGATGCACACACGCATCCATCTCACCTCATCTCACCACACTTTGCACCCACACGCATTCATAATCACATCATATCACTCTCACAACTCACAACATTCTCAATCTTCATAAATTCACCAGAAGGTCTATTTGAGCAAGAACAGCATATCAACTGTTAAAGATTGTCCCACAAAGTTACCAATGTTGATTGTATTTCCTGTTTGTCAATTTTCAAAATCATTAGTTTAATTTGAAGAATTAAAACTTTTAATCGTCAAACTGGTTTCCTCATTGAACTGAAACACAGACACTCAGATATTATCGGCAGTTTATCGATGAAAACAACCTTTGAGTCTTCTGAACAATATAAAACTTGGTTATTGAATATTAAAAATTAATATTCCGAATTAATACGTAGCATGGTTCCTCTTTCATAAAAGAGCATAAAACCACAACGCTACATTAATGGCGAGCGTATCCAGACTTCTATATCTGCGATTTATCTGATTCCGAACATCTAAAAGCTACAAACAACGCTTTTCTCTGTGTTTCACTTTGATGTCTTATTTTGAAAAAAACGGAAATTGTTCCCTGAAGTCACTCTTCCGGGAGACGTCCTGGTGGAAACTTGACGGGGAAGAACTCCGATCTCAAATTGACCGCAAATTACAGACAATACTTTGATTTATCCCATCTTCGCCTTCGGAGCGAACGTGTGAGTTGTGCTTTTGACTAAATTCTGTCCATTTTGACGCGCCGCCACGCCTCTAATCTCTTCAGGTCGGAAAGCTACATTTCCGCTCTGAACCTTGCTGGGTGAGCTACCGTGAGCAGCTTATCCTCAGTTCCTAAAATTAAGACTAAATTCTCCGAACCTCCGTACCGAAACTAAATTCTCGGACACCCTTCGTCTCAGTGTGTTGACACTGTGGGTGAGCTATTGTGGAAGATATTTCCATTTCATAGGCGACTGATCAAAGCCGAATCTAAACGGAATGCTCGTAGGCACCTACCGTATTTTAAATTGCTCAGTAAACGTTGTAAGTCGGGTTATGGCCGTCACGCGTTACTGCATTCAGATTGCGTACGCTTTCAAGACCGTTTAGCTAAGCGGAGCGAGATGCCTGCTTGTTAATCGGGAAAATTTAAGTCTGGTCGCTACAGACAAAGGACGCTAGACCTAGCCGGAGAGCTAAGCTAGCGCGCCACAGTTGGACAAAAAGGGACCGCGTCCCGTTAAATTGTCAAACCATTTCTGACACAGTCAGTCTGTGTCCTCACAAAACCCGCATTGGCGGTGATTCTTGTAATTCACTACGGTGTGTAGAATCTACAGTTTGCTACGTTTGTCCGTCTGATAACATCTCGGCAGCGTAGGGTTTATTATTTTTTTTATTTTTGTTTTGGACCGGTAAGGGTCGGCTTTCACAGCCTCCGTTGCTCGGTTCCATGCCTTTTTCTTCCATCTTGTGAAGTTGTGTGTATTCATTTCTCTATCAACAATTCCTTGTTTTACCCTATGTCATAAAGTTAAGTAAGCTACGGACAGTCCTTGTTTGTGAGACAAATTAAGGAATTTGCCCGGAGTTTTACGTCGACTCAGAAGGTAAAAACGCGAGTTGCTCTGAACTTAATGGGAGATGGACGAGACACGACAAACTCTTTCTTGCACTGTTGCACCTGATGTAAGGTTCTCTGACGTTCTGCTTCCAGAACATGCCAAGACGCAGGAGACTGTTCACCGGCTGGGCCAAGCTGGTCCCTCCGCCCGCCCGAACGGGCCCGTTTTAGGCGGGTGCCGCCGGTCGGGCACGGTGGGGACTAGTGGCAGCGGTTCGGTGCCAGCTGCACTGGGTCGGAGGTGGTTCTGGTCTGCAATTCATGACGTGAATTCATGCAACATGCTGTTTACAGTCATAACGCTTTTTCTTTACTTTTATTTCTTCCAGGGGGTCAAAAACCCACCATCAATATCAAGGTTTGAAATAAACAACACTTTCTCTGCTACTTTTAAGCTGAATAAATCTCTTGAGCCTATGGTTAACCTCTCTGACAAACAGGTTGTGCTTAACCCTTTGGTTCCTGATGCTTCTTCTCTGTCATCCATGTTAGAGGCTGAACATCTCTCCAGCATGGGTGTGAAATCTTCAGGCTGTGATCCACCGCTTCAGTCAGAGGTCTGCTTTACTCGTCAGTCCGCCTCATGCACAAACCGGCTTCTTTATCGGGGCGTGATGGAAACGTCAGCCGCCGTGAAACACTTGTGGTCTCCGGACGGAGCTACCTTACCATTTGCAGGGTTTGTGCCCGGACATCTTGACCTTTATGTGAATGACCTTGTCACTTTTCAGTTTGTGACCTCTGCTAATACGGTGGCCAATTCTTTTCTCCTTCCACAGGGGTGTGACTTAGTCTCTGGCCTCTGTGCTCTCTTTCCTGTGATTTCTCTTAGAGGTGACCACGACGACGCAGAAAACCCTGCGGGTTCCAGTAGTCAAGTGGTCAGCGGCGATATTGAAGGTGGCTCGGTGGTTGCTGCGCACACCTCTCTCACGGGCTCGGGAAGGCCACCCGGCCCGGGAGGTGTAGGTGCGTGCAGTGATGCTCTGCTCGGGGCCCCTCCTGACAAAAGGGGGGTGCCGGGTGGCACTGCGTTTTCCGTTGCGGACTTCAGGCTGTTCGGGGGAAACCCTCCTCCGAGCGGGCGGGTCATTGCAGAAATCGACACTGACCTTCCACCAATTCAGCTGACAACATTGACCTCCGACCCGGAGTTAGGTGCGGCACCTTCTACGGGGCGGAGTTCTAGTCAGTCTGTAACTTCTCTGGTTAAACCGGGTTTTTCTGATTCTGTGTGGGAACCTCGATCATTCTTGGGAATAAAGTATTCTTGGCTTCAGTTTTCAGGACAGACCATGTTCCTAAAGCTAGCGTCATGTCTGTATCTGATTCTAAACATGGCTAGGTTTGCTTTGACACCCGTGACACAACCATCCTTGGATCACTCCTTTTCAGAACCTCCAAGTCCAACACCTCCAGGTCTTTGGACATCTGAACACCTACTCTTTCAGCACGATTCAGGTGACAATATGCATCTTCTTGGTAATAGGGCTTTTAAGAGCTTAAGAACTGTTCTTTGTTATGCTTCTCCTGTCTCACAGACACGGCATAAGTTTGAGAAACAAAAGGGGGGTGGGGAGCCTCCTCCTGCTTTGCGAGCATCGGTTTCGCATTTCCAGTTCACTACTATTTCTGATCACAACAAAGTCGCCTCCGTAAAGCTGCAACCCAACTTTGAGCAGGTAAAATCAGGTTCTGATCTAACAGCTAAACCATCAGCTTCGCTCCAGTTCCAAACGGAACCCTCAGGTAAATTCAAACAAGTTTCCCTGTGGGTTCGTAACACAAGATACAAACAGTTTGATAACCAAATCGCTTATGAGCCTGCTCCCACAGATACGTCCAAACTCGTGTCTCTGTGGGTCCGCAATACCAGATTCAAAACTCTATTCTGACCAACTCTATTCTGACCAACTCTATTCTGACCGGATTCTTTTCCACTAACTGGTGGACCGTTACAAATTCTCTCGTTTGTGGGATGAATTTTTAACAAATGTGATATCCTTTGAATTTTTTTTTCAGGTTACCTGCCTCCAGCCAGGGTCCTGTTACTAACTCACATTTTTAGGGATTACTAACCTACTGATTTACATTTTTAGAATTGATTTACATCTCTATCTTTTTATTAGTGCTTTGTGTAGCATGATTATATTTGATTACAAATTTAATTTTATTGTTACTATTTCCCTTAAAGGGCCACAAGCCAATTTGCCCTTCATTTTCATGATTATTTCTTTTATATATATGCCTTTACTTAGTGCAGCCTGCTGAGTTTCACATATCAGTTAGGATTTACTTTCTTTTATTTGTGTTTTCTCTGCATCACGTTTTTACATGACATGTAGAGCAGGGTGCAGAACATTTCTTCTTTAGATAATTCACAAAATGCCTACACATTTTCCCAGAGGCACCCATAGATAGGTTTTGATTGATTTCTTTGATTTGCATCAAATGCTATCTATCGTGTGGGCTGTCTCACTTTGTCTCCTTCTCCGAGCTCGTATGGACTACATCCCATCAGAGGGGTCGTCTTCACCATCCTTCAACTGGTTTCCTGTCGCATGGGGCTTCGGTCGTGGTTCGAGATGGGTCGAAGTCTGCGCTGGACTTCGCCTGGGCTACGCCTGGGGAATACATCACCTGCCCAGCTCCGTGTGGCACACGAGCTGCTTATCCTTTGCATACCTTTGCATTATTGCTGATGAAATTAACTGCTATTGAAATAGCTCTGCTTTCAAGATTCCTTAAGTCGATTACTTTACAATGATTGCAACAGTTTTGGCCTTAATCATCTGATCAGGATAGACTCCCTTCTACACGAGACCTGTGGTGACGCTTCATCGTTCCTGCCTTCATCTGGGATGGCTACCTTCACGAGTACATCACGTTATTGAGGTTGTGTCGTCAGGTGGCCTCTGCTTGACCACCATGTCGTCACAAAAAGGGGGGTCTGTAACGTGAGGAAATATGGGTTTTCTGTCACAATGGTGGTGCTGGACTCAGCTGGGTCAAAGCTGGGTCATTGAGAACTTTCACCCACAGATTAAGACCTGAACGCCAGCGAGTCTGGGAGGAAACCATAACATCTGCCACCTGCGGTACCAGAAGAAGGAGTTCTCATGGACAAGTAGTCATAACAAATCAAAACTTAAAGTTTAAACTTCTTTTTCTTGATTTTAATGTTAAAGTAACCATTATCATTTTGCTCATTATAAATGTGTTTAATCAAATGAATGGTTCTTATGCTTTTGGGTAATTATAATGGATTAATGAATCCATTCTTAAATAATGTTGAGAATGTTTGGTACTGACCTTCACACACACCCACACACATCTTCCCACAGTAAACTCCAGACACATTTGATGACGCACACGTTTGCTTTGAGAAGAGAAAGGTTTTTGGTAAGTTTCAGTCTTATGATTCCAGTTCGTGCTTGACAACGAAAGAGAGAGGACATGAAGGGGGGACAGAGCCTGTTGGCTCGTTTCTCCCCCCCCCCCCCCTTTTCACTCTGTTTCTGTCAGCCAGACAGAATAGCTGAATCGCAACTTCTAACGCAGACTCATTACCGAGTCTTTTGATTTTTGAGTGAATTAACTTAAGAAAGCGCGTCGACAAAACGCTTTACCATCAACGTGTACCGAGGGCAACTCTGGACCAGTTCCGTTCGACACCTACGTCTTCCCTGTCAGCCGTTGAGTGTCATCTGGATGAACCACAACATCCTCCACGGCCCGGATCCGAAAGAGGGTCCACAAGAGTTCGGTGAGACAGCACACGGTGTTTAGCGTTTGGATGCATTTTTTTCCAACTAAACCTAAGTTTATTCAAACCACAACTTTTGACTCAGACACCTGTTTCTTCCTGAAGCAAAATCAGATGCACACACGCATCCATCTCACCTCATCTCACCACACTTTGCACCCACACGCATTCATAATCACATCATATCACTCTCACAACTCACAACATTCTCAATCTTCATAAATTCACCAGAAGGTCTATTTGAGCAAGAACAGCATATCAACTGTTAAAGATTGTCCCACAAAGTTACCAATGTTGATTGTATTTCCTGTTTGTCAATTTTCAAAATCATTAGTTTAATTTGAAGAATTAAAACTTTTAATCGTCAAACTGGTTTCCTCATTGAACTGAAACACAGACACTCAGATATTATCGGCAGTTTATCGATGAAAACAACCTTTGAGTCTTCTGAACAATATAAAACTTGGTTATTGAATATTAAAAATTAATATTCCGAATTAATACGTAGCATGGTTCCTCTTTCATAAAAGAGCATAAAACCACAACGCTACACTAGATACACACACACACACACACACACACATCTAGATACACACACGCACATACACACACACACTCACACACACAAATCTGGATAAACACACACACACCTAGATATTCGCAAACACACACAAATCTAGACACACACACACACACACACAGACACACACAAATTTAGATACACACACACACACAAATCTAGATACACACACACATCTAGATACACACACACACACACACACAAAAATCTGGATACACACACACACACACAAACTAATACGGATACACACACACATCTAGATATACGCACACACACACACACAAATCTGGATACACACACACATCTAGATACACAAACACACACGCACACACATCTAGATACATACACACACAAATCTAGACACACACACACACACACAAATCTAGACGCGCGCGCACACACACACATTCTTGTTTTTGCCCCTTATGAGGCCCGCCAGTTTTTCTATGCTTTATGGGATCCACCCTTTCCAGTTGTCTTACATCACTTTTAAAAACAAGGTTAGATGTAAAAAAAAATCTTAATCATTAATATCACTTCAATTTAACACATTTCTAAAGTTTTGACCAAAAAGGTATTTGGCCACTTGTGGGCACCGTTTCTAGCATTGCATAATTGTGAGGTCCATTCACATACACACGTACATATCAAGTTTTTATATGTTCATGGGGCCCAAGGTCACAATCCGCAGCTGCTGATACCAGTCTTTATTATTACTCCCAGTTTCCTCATGTTGGACTAAAATAGTTTTTTGTAATAAGTGATTATGTATATGTGTGAACATTTCTATCTGCCTTGACAGATTACAAGACATTCAGCTTCAAAGACAGTTTAATGACAAAATTGAAATGACCAATTTAATGACATTTTAAGCCATACCCTTGTGATTTTTTTATTAAATCATTAATCTAATCTCCACTGAATGTTTTAACAATATCAGTCTGAAGTTCTATGCAAACCCAAAAGTTTTTGTTACATTGGCATTGAAATTACGTGTTTCATTGGACTGCATTCATAATGCCTTGTTATTACAGGTGTAAAAAATATACAAAAAAAACCTGTGAAATGTTTTCATTTGTACACAACCAAACAGCCATAAAACCTGAGCAAACCCTTACAACAACAACAACAAAAAGTAACAACAAACACAACAAAGGACAAAACATTTTGAGATCTTACATCCAATGTTTTCTTTTACCTCTGTTCAATTAGGTGCTTTCAGACTACTTTTCTTCTCAGGGCTGTAATGCGATTTGTAACATAACATTTAACAGCTTTCCAGTCTCTGTTTCTGAGAGCTTCAGGTGCAGCAGTAATACAGCGCTGACACTCTTCTTTACCAGGAACTTGACTCCTCACGATAAATCTCCTCAAATGTTTGTCCACTGCAGCACACTCTTCTGGGGTCCAGCTTCTCTTGACAGCTGTTTCTTTTTCTGTGTGGACAAAAGCAAAACAATGTAGGTTTTCTTTTATAAAGAAGTTTTAATCTTAATTAACAAGACCCACTGTAAGACCCACTGTTTTAGAATTACAACAATTTTGGTTATTGTCCAAAATTATGCCACAAATCCAGTCTGATAAATCCCCAAGGCCCTCTGATGGTGGTCAGCACAAAACTTACTGCATGTAAACATATCAGGTAACAGAATTACATTTGAACCGTTTCCATGTACTCTAAGAGAGGTCCAGAGTCTGGGGGCTACAGCAGCAGATGATCTGTCACCTTTGGTCTTTTGCCTGGAGCTGGACAACCAGTAGGCTTTGGTCACTGGACCTCAGGGACCTGCTGGGGGTGTAGGGTCTGAGAAGAGCACCAAAGTATGGTGGTGCTTGTCCATGTAAGGTCCTAACAACCAGAACCACGATCTTGAAATGAACCCTGAAGTTTACTGGCAGCCACTGAAACTGGGGGAGAAGCGGGGTGATGTGGGTGTGTTTGGAGGTCCTGGTTAGAAGCCGAGCACAGGCATTTTGAACCACCTGTAGATGGTTCAGGGAGGTTCTGCTCAGACACGTGAAAAGAGAGTTGCAGTAGTCCAAGCGTGAGGAGGTGAAGGTGTGGAGAACAGTCTCAAGTTCAGAGCAGGACAAAATGGGACTCAGCTTTGCAATGTTCCTGAGATGGAAGAAGGAATAGCGAACAAGAGAACTGACATGATAATCCAGGGTGAGAGCCGGGTCAAAGGTCACGCCAAGATTCATGACCGAAGGTTTGTTGTGAGAAGCAAGCTGACCAAGAGAATCTCTGACTTTGGGAACCAGCTTGTCTGGGGCAAAGATGAGGATCTCAGTCTTATCTTCATTCAGCTGTAGAAAGCTCCCAGCCATCTAAGTTTTAATAGTGTCTAAGCAGGTGTCTAACAGCTGCAGCTTAGACATCTCATGGGGCTTAAAGGAGATGTACAGTTGGATGTCATCTGCATAAAGATGGTAGGAGATTCCTTTGAAAGAGCTCAGGATGTGCTGAAGAGGAATCAGACAGATGAAGACGAGTAGAGGCCCCAGTGCAGAACCTTGTGGGACACCATGGGTGAGGGAGGTGGTGGAGGACCTTGGAGATGGCCACAGCATTTTTAAAGTAAGCAGGGACCTGACCATAAACCAGAGAAGCATTAATTGTGTAGAGCACGCTGGGATCGATGGACTGAAAAGCACTTTTAAACAAAGATGAGGGTATGTTGTAGAGGGGGCATGCAGAGGTCTTCATAGAGTTAACTAGTTTGGTTAACTCAGGCAAAGACAGAGGAGCAAAGCTATCTAGGATGATGGGCCTGGTTGGAGTCGGGAGAGGCAGCGATAAGGCTGAAGGAGAGATGCTAGATCTAACCTTATTGACTTTGTCCACAAAGAAAGACAGAAAGTTCTCACAGTCTGCAACAGAGTAGATAGAGGCTGTAGGAGAGGCAGGGGAGAAGATGCTGCTGATGGTGTTAAACAGCACCTTGGGATTCTCTTTGCTCTGGGACACCAGGTTGGAGAAATAGTCAACCTTTGCATCTCTGACTGCAGAGTTAAAGGAAGTCAGAAGATTCTTTAGATGCAGCAGATGGATATGGAGACGGGTTTTCTTCCACAAGCGCTTGTAGCAACAACAAGCTACTGACCATCGACCTCTGTGACGGGTCAAACTGAACCGACATGTGCCTCTGCTTTTATCTGGAGCCGAGATGGCTGCTGAGACACACTCTCCTACTGCAAGGATGGCAGATGCTGGGTTCTGATAACCAGTTGTCAAGGACGCAGCTCGGGGAAGGAGGACAGCTGAACTGTTCCTCTTATGATTTTAGTAAAGAATGAGAACTGTTGATGAATTAATTAATATGATCAACTGCTGAATCAATTTGTGATCAAACTTGTAAATGATGTTTAATGGAGATGATGTGATCAGGAATAATACACCACATATTGTTAAACACACAGCAGGCAAGAGCGGAGCTTCTTAAGGGCGAATACGTCACGACCTGGGAATGCCCCGGGAAGGGGGGTCGTTCTACAAAACTGACGAGCGAGCTGAGAGTTAGTTCGTTGAGACATCACAGGGCCCGTGAATTCCTCTTTGACAACATCAGAACATTGGCACGCCGCCAGGTTCTGGACACTTGCAAGCAAGCTGAAAACACCGAGTTCCACCATCAACCGTGGAACTGTTTGCTTAAACTTGAGCCAATCAGAGACTGATTTTGACCAGTGGACTTTAACCTCAAAGCCTCACGGATTGGGAGACCAGCTGGGAGCGACCGTGTTCCTCCATCGACCGGGGTCCGTCCAAGACACACACCCCCAGGTGATGTAGGGCACTTACGATCACTTCTTGTGTTTCTCTTTCCAAAGCGACACGGTAGACTAAC